TTATAATCAATAAAAAAAAATTGGCAAAAAAACATTTTGAATTTCCTAAATTATCGTAAGTAATAATAAGGGCATCTAATTTTTCCAAAAAAATCGAAAAAACACGTTGCTAAGTAATATTTTAACAAGAAGCATGAGTGCTGGGGGCAACAAAAATCCGAGTCGAAGGCGAGGATTTTTGCACCTGCACGAATGCATTTTGTTAAAAAATATTACTTAGCATTGTGTTTTTTCGATTTTTTTCACAGGAAAAATTAGATGCCCGAATGGTATTTGACAAGACTATTTCATGAGTAACAGTTAACAATTAAAATATAAATTGCAATTTTTGGTGACAACAGCTGTCAAGTTACAGGTCATCTGTTAAAAAATTGTGATAAGGGAAAAAAGTTTAAAAAAGAACCACAATGTAATACAAATATTATAATTTCTAAATAAAAAGTTGCCAATGTTGCCAGGTCAAGAGTGAATTACGTAAATTACATAGGAAAATAAGTTTTGAATTAAAAAAAAAAATTTTGGCCCCTAGGATAAACCGGAACTGATAGCTCCGCTAAAAATAAATAAATACACCGAATTGAACACCAGACCTTTTCAAAGCTTTGCACTGACCTATGAACTCCGATGGGTCAACCAAGATTTAAAACTTTTTTTAGCGGAGCTATGGTGCGATACTATTATCAGAACAATGTCCCGACAATATTTTTCCTTTTACAAACATATTTTTGTGTTAAACGATATAATTTAACAAAAGAAAATGTAAAAAATTGTTTTATGCACCTATGTACATATATTAAAATAAACGCGTTTATATTTTCTTTTTTTCTTTTTTGGGTGCATGCCTTTTTAGAAGCCGTTTTAAATTTTAAAGTGCCTAAAACTCTGGTCTTCTCTATAGTGATAATTAGTACTAATATTATTAGTTAAACTAAAATATACTTGTAGACTGAAATACTTATTCAAACCTTGTTTTTCTATTAAAAATAATTTCATACACAAGATATTCTTCTTATTTTAACCGATTTTTCCTATATCTATAAATAAAATAAATAACAGTAAAGACTAAAAATATTTTAAAATCAATTGTAATCCCAAAGTTTCTATTATATTTTTGACTCTAAACTTAGTAAAGTAAATTTCTGTAAAACCAGGTCACGGCCCTTGTAAATAGTTCCACGCTATTAGAAAAATTCATTTGACAAAAAAAAACAATAAATATCTTACGTTATTTTATCTTACAAGAAATGTAAAATCTTTAAATCGGTAATCGATTGCATTTTTTTTAGCTATTTATATTTTAAACTCTTTAATTATTTAACCAGTAATGCTACTTTTATCTCAGAACGCCATCTATATGTCAAAAGCTAAACTACACTGTTTGAATCACAGTTATCCTTATTTCTCTTGCAAGAAGTTGTGTATCATTCAATAGATTATTAAATTTCCGTTTCAGCGAAACCTCGCACATAATATTTTACACAAAAATCACGTAGTTTTCTTTTATTTATAAACAATCGCGGTATGTCACGATAAAGTCAAAATTCGTCATAGATCGTTTGTTTTTTGTTTAAACTATACCGTGTTACGTATGGGATGAAAGGGAATTTTGTTTTTATGTAATGGTGTTAAATATTTTTATTTTTATGAGTTCTATTGGGTTTAAATTGGGTTTAATTTATTTTAATTTGGGTACCAATCGTATTTTTATTAATATGAACTCTATACACTGTAGGGCAAAAAATATTTAAAAAAATGGCGAATGCGCCTGTTTTTTTAATATCGGAGTTTTTTAATAAAAAAATGTATTTCAAATTAGACAAATTGAAAAATAATTGGTCTACATCTAAAATGACGTATTCAATTCATTAATTGTTTATGCACATGCACAACATTTTGATTAATTTGCACTTTAAAAGATAAAATAATCAAAATATACTGCTGTTTAAATATTTCCATGCCAATGCATTTGATTCTGGAATATTCCCAATATATAGGAATATACGAGGTGCGTGAAAATGTTAAATAATTATTATCAAAAACAAAATTTCGTTTTAGTTTTTAAAACATTTTTCTTTTAATGTTATTTTGGTAAAAAAAAATGTATACGTTTTTGCTATAATGTATGGTAACTAGCTGCTAATTAAATATAAGTTGCCTTATCTTAATATATTTTTGTCGCCCAGCACATATAAAAAAAATGAATCATATCAAACCTAAAAATATGACCGAAAATAATATTTATGCACGATGACATTATAATATGACAATTATAACAAAAATTCATTGACGTAAACGTCTTTTTATAGCCCGCGGGCGTTATTATGACCCAGCGGGCTATAATGAAACGTCAAAAATTAAAAACAACAATATTACACCATTTGATATATTCGAAGTAAGTTTTTTCGTATAAAGATTTTGATTTTTCCGGCAGCAGGCCGCAATTTTTCGCCTTTTCAGCTGCTTCCTCAATTTCATTCATCTTTAAACTTTAAAGCTGACTGATGTCAGTTGACATTATAATATGACAATTATAACAAAAATTCTTTGACGTAAACGTCTTTAAAAACATTAATATATTAAAAATATTAATATATTAATCGTGCATAAAGTTTTGTATGCATTGCTGGCATAACTGGTTTTTATGGTCCTACGACGCTTTTCTAGCCCTCGCGCTAACGCGCTCGGGCTCGAAATAGCGCCTCGGACCATAAAAACCTTATTATGCCCTTAATACATAAATAACTATTATTGTCTCTAGGGTCGCTAAACTCATATCGTCCCTAGTTTTTCACATTCTAGACACCTTTGACTTACATTTATGTATTTTGGCATTTGACATTTTGACATTTGAGATTTTCAGACGTTTGTGTAAATCAAAATAAAAACGGACAACAACAAGTATAAAATAACAATAAAAACTAATTTAAATTTTGTAATAAAGTGAAAATGAATGGTAACTCGGACAGTGACGAAAAATTTACGAATACTTGACCAGATTTTAAAAAGAGGAAGCTAGCGGAGGAAGTGCTATGAATTATTTAAAAACTGGAAAAAGGACCAAAAACCCAAAAACTTAACAGAAAATGTATAAGTTGCTTATCTATAGGAAAGATCAAAGATAATTCTAATGAAACATCAACTTCATCTGTAGAAATAAGCCTTCAAATTCTGGTACTATCCACAATTGTGCTCAAGGCAGAATTAGCATTAATTACAACAATAAATAAATTCGTAAATTGTTACTGAAGTTTTTTATAAAATTCCGTTTATATTAATAAAATTAAAAAAAATAATTTGTTGATGCTAGGCGAAAACGCATTAGCAGCCCTTAGCTATTTATTTAATAGTCGCGAGCTGCTAAAGCTAGTTTTCTGCCCTTGAGACACAATATACTATTTCTACACCCGCCTTTAAAACGCCCATTATTGTACATGTTTCCAGGACACTAAGTGACCTTTTATGGCTTTATGACGGACTGAAGTTAGTTTTAAGTAAGTTGACAGTTGTCAAATGTCATACAATCGGTAAAATAATACTAAATTTAGTAAAAATTATTATATTATCTCAATACAAAAATACAAAAGTATTAAATAGTTTCTCAACGCCAATATTTAAAAAGTTTATATGAACATTGAACTGACCTTTTAATTTCGCCGGCAGTAAACTACATTTAACTTAATTTCCACCGTGGAGTGCCAATAAAACATTTTGTTTACTTTCACTGTAAAAAACTGCTTCTATATCGAATTAAACGGTTCATTTTGATTTACACATACAAATGTGACATTTTACAGATTTCCAAGTTACTCTATTGTTTTATAGATGTCTCTATACAAATTTAATTTAAATCATTTTTTGATTTTAAGTTTTTTTCGTAGAAAAGTATAGTATTCAACTCTTTTATAAACTTTTCTAGACACTCATTTAATTAAAAAAATTAAATTAAATTGTTAAAATGTTCTTTATCAAACTTGATATATAATACAATATTTTGTCTTATAGACAAAAAACTTTCTGGAAATAGCGAGATTTCACGAATGCGCTAAATTCTAAATTACTGTTTATTAAATATATCTTCTCTTTAAGATTTTTATTATTAATTTAATTTAAACAAATTAAAATTGACAGCAGTTGTTTATTTTATTATAGTATATAAGCTTCCGCAAGAATTTACCATTGACATCTGAACTAATGACCACATCCGTTGCATCACTAAATATTAGTACAGATAAAAAAATGTTTTTTTCAATGAAGGTTGAGAATTTGGCATTAAGTTTTTCTGAATTAATAATAATAGTTTTTCAAATGTTCAAAAAAACTGATTTTTACTATAGTTTTTCTCTTATCGCACGGCGTACTTATAGACATAAAAGTTTAATGCCAATTATTAATTGCCATTTAAGGTTTTGTTAGCTTTTAAATGGTAGAACATAAAAAATCGATTTTTGTTTTGACCGCGCACATCTCTACTTCAAAATAACTCAGATATACCTACATAGCTTTGTAGTAAATAAGAAATAGAGACATAGACAGACTGGCGTCTGCTATTCTTTTGTATTTTTTTATCAATTTTGGAATGTATACCTTTAATTTTTGTTGAAAAAGGTATTCGATCAAATATTGTGGTACATCATTATTATAATTGGTAAATAGCCAGTAATAATGTACCAGTGGTAATCATCCAACCAAAAACTTTTTTGTAGAATTATTCTAACGAATAAAACAATTTTTACGCTTCAATAGCTTTTTAAAATGGTGAATTTCATCCAATGATAATACCTTTAGGAATAAAACCCATCAGGTACCTACCTAGATCTCAGGCTTTAAACTCAAAAACCATAAATGATATTAAATCGAATTATGACCAATTTCATGCGACTTAAATTTACAACCCCTACAAATTATGCCACCTTAATATAACCAGATATAACAAAAGTAACAACATGGTACCAGATAACATCGATCCCACCTCTACATTTTATACAAAGAACATCTAGCAAGCCGAAAACAGCTGATACACGCGAACAGACCGTCATTTGTTCCTTTAGAGGCAGCAGTGTGCCATGCACGACACCCGTGCGTAATAATTTGAATACACGACTGTAGTTTTGTGAGTTTTTTACTACGAGAAAACTTGGTGAAAATAAGGTAAATATTTTATAGCTTTTTGCAAAATAGGTCATTTGTATTTGCCTTGATTATTGCCGAAATTTATAGTCATTATTTTTTTGGGTCATTTGTCAACATTTAAAAAAAATTGCACTACCTACTATTTATTAATATTAATAAAATGTGTTGCTATAAGCACAAATTTATTATTTAATAAACATTGAGTTCTATGAAGGACAAGTTTATCTATAATTAACTATAATTTGTACACTATACAGTGCCAAATTTCAATTTGTTAATTACAAATTTAAAAAAAATGTTTTTAATAACACTGTGCAACAGTCGTTTTGATGCAGGGTATGACTTTTTTGCTATAATTTGAGTGTGCTAAATCAAAAATGACCAGAGTTTAATGGATTCTACTTCAGGTGTAATTTAACTTTGAATAATATATTTTGGCAACTTTTCGTTGCAGACCCGATATTGTCATATTCAGGGGGAATCCAAAGAGGGGGCTCATATGTTTTGAATAACGCTATTTTGGTTTTATTTTATAAATTTTCAATTAATTTTACACAATGTTCTTAGAACACCCTTTATATATTTTTAATCAAGTACTTTAACCGAGGTCCTAATTAAAATGAAAAAAAATTAGTGATTCCAGCGTCAATCGAATTGATAGTCAACAGAAAAAGTTTTACGATTTTTGTTAAATTGAGCTTAACTTTTAAACAGTCATATATTTGGCGGAATTTGTGTAATGAATTATTCCTTGCTCCGAATGAAAAAATATCAATACCTCCCCAGACTGCAATGAAGGTTCGAAAATATTCCAGGGATATGCCCTATCATCTAGGAATATTCCGCTTCATTCTAGGAATATTCCTAGAATGATCATCTAAAACTTCCAGGCACCATCTAAGAACATTCCCAGTAAATATTCATTGGGAATATTTCAAAGAATAATCCTCTACAACTTCCAAGCAAAATCTTGGAACATTCCCAGTGAATGTTCTTTATATTTAAAAAACAATAAATTATTTTCTCTTTCTACAAATTGGTTATATTCCAGGACTATGCCCTATCATCTATTCCAGCGTCAATCGAATTGATAGTCAACAGAAAAAGTTTTTCGATTTTTGTTAAATTGAGCTTAACTTTTAAACAGTCATATATTTGGCGGAATTTGTGTAATGAATTATTCCTTGCTCCGAACGAAAAAATATCAATACCTCCCCAGACTGCAATGAAGGTTCGAAAATATTCCAGGGATATGCCCTATCATCTAGGAATATTCCGCTTCATTATGTGAATATTCCTTGAGAATATTCCTAGAATGATCTTCTAAAACTTCCAGGCACCATCTAAGAACATTCCCAGTAAATATTCATTGGGAATATTTCAAAGAATAATCCTCTATAACTTCCAAGCAACATCTTGGAACATTCCCAGTGAATGTTCTTTATATTTAAAAAACAATAAATAATTTTCTCTTTCTACAAATTGGTTATATTCCAGGACTATGCCCTATCATCTAGGAATAATCCACTTCATTCTAGGAGTATTCATTGGGAATATTCTTAGAATGATCCTCTAAAACTTCCAAGCACCATCTAAGAACATTCCCAGTAAATATTCATTGGGAATATTTCATAGAATAATCCTGTACAACTTCCAAGCAACATCTTGGAACATTCCCAGTGAATGTTCTTTATATTTAAAAAACAATAAAACAATTTCTCTTTTTACAAATTCGTTATATTCCAGGACTATGCCCTATCTAGGAATAATCCACTTTATTCTAGGAATATTCATTGGCAATATTCCTAGAATAATCCTCTAAAACTTCCAAGCACCATCTAAGAACATTCCCAGTGAATAATCATAAGTTTAGTTGAAATATACCTCTCACCGTTGCACATTACGCACGACTTAAACTAAATAAACCCATAGGTTAAAAATATCAGTTGGAGATGTGCGTCTGTGATGGCACAGCTTAACAATGATTAGAGTGGAACTGATCTACTCAGTAACTAATAATGGCTAATTAAGTTAAGTTCCTGGGTATAAGTGGCCATAAGAGCTAGGAGTAAACCCCAAATTATATTAAGGGACATTCTCCTAACAATACTCAAGTCTTATGCATGCCGCTACATGGAATATTTTTTTTATGATAAAATGGGTTAACCAAAAAGAGGACATTTTATTACGCCAGGAATATTCCTGGGAATATTCTCCTAACAATATTTGAGTCTTATGCATGCCGCTACATGAAATATTCTTTTTATGATGACTGGGTTAACCAAAAAGCGGACATTTGATTACGCCAGGAATATTCCTGGAAATATTCTGGTTCGCTTGGAATAATCCTGGGAATATTCCTGACATATGCAGGGAATTTTTATCTAAAAAAAGTATGAAATCAATATTCCACTACATTTTAGGATTCAAAACTCGACATTTGAGGTATATTATATATCTTAGATTTTAACAGGAAAATTTAGTAGTCGATAGAACTTTTTAGTTTTTAAAAAATATTTATTTTTTCAAAAACGTTAAAAACTTCTTGGCAGAATTTAATAAAACTTGTAAGGTTTTTAGTAATTTAATGTAATTAATCCAGGGGCGGTGCTGGGGCATCCCAACTAGATATTTAAATGTTGGTACGCTACTGCCTTTTTATAAGTTTAATATTATTTTTAGATTAAATGAATCGGTGAGATTAAGTCCAAAAGTTTAAATTTTTACAAATTATTTCATAAAATCAGTTTTACAGTTCAAAACGCATTGTTGTGGGAAAATTTAAACTATTTTATAAAATATATATTTTGTAAAATAATATATAGGTATATTCCCCCAAAATAGCATTTTAAACTTTTAAATTGATTTTAGAAAATGATTTGTCAAAATACAAGTTTTGGACTGTTCTTCATCTCACCGATTCAATTAAACATACAACTTTTTTGTCTTTTGTCTTTCGACAAAATAGGATATTAGGTATCAAGTTTTATAAACGTTATTTTAGTTAGGAGTTTAGTACGAGCGAAGCTTGCGAGCGAGTATTTAATAAAAATAAGTGTCTAGAGAAGTTTACAAACGAGTTGCATACTATTCTTTATCTACGACGAACACAAAAAATTTTATTTGTTAAAACTTGACATCTATAAACTGTCACCCGAATTCAACCTCACTTTTTCCGAATTTATAATAAAGCCAGCCCGTGACTGAAATTCCCAAAAGCAACTGTTTCTAACTTAAGCCCTTGACTGGAAGTCACAGCCCGTCAATGTAGGAGTAGATAATATATACAGGGTGTTATGTAATTAATGTTATATATTAAAATACTGAATACCTTTTGATATATGGAGTAGGTAAAGGAAAAATATTTAAAAAAATATTTTTCCAAAGATAAAGAAAAAATATGCATTAGAAGTTTTTTATATTTTTTGTGATAAGCCACTGGTTACACACTTCGTTTATCTCTGCACACATGTGTTCTGTGAGTACATAGATACCAACCAACAAAGTAGCTGTGCGTTGCCAGATGTAAAAAATTGTTACTAAACATTTTTCTTGCAAAAAATAAATAAAAACTCAATAAATACAAAAGTTTTATGCCCTTAAAGCTCTAATACCCTTCTGTATTTATTTACTTATCCAGCTATTAGCTTAAGCAATGATTAGAAAATTTAGTACCTATTTTAAAAACTCCATAACCACAAAATTAATTTTTTCATCAGTTTTAATCTTTCTGTTTACTCAGATGAAATTGGGACCAGTTTCACAGGTTAAACTTTAAACATTTAATTTGTGTAAATAAATCCAAAAGCACTTCCCTTAGTTAAGATATTGGTTGTGTTCCGTAATTTACTGCCATTTATTTATTTATTTATTTACTTATCCAGCTATTAGCTTAAGCAATGATTAGAAAATTTAGTACCTATTTTAAAAACTCCATAACCACAAAATTAATTTTTTCATCAGTTTTAATCTTTCTGTTTACTCAGATGAAATTGGGACCAGTTCACAAGTTAAACTTTAAACATTTAATTTGTGTAAATAAATCCAAAAGCACTTCCCTTAGTTAAGATATTGGTTGTGTTCCGTAATTTACTGCCATTAGGGGAAGGTGGGGGAATTTTGCGCGGTGGGTAATTTTACGCATAAACAATTCTTCCAGATATGAAGTAAATAATACATTTTTTGAATGTTGCAAACTTGGAAACGTTGCTTTGGGTATACGGGGACTAAAGTGTACCGCAATTAAGCTTGTAGCTTTTAGCTAGTGACCATGGTCACTAGCTAACTGTGATACATGTACGTTGATCTAAGAAATGCATGTCGTTTCCGCTACGCTTCGCTTAAATGTTTATAACACAACTTTATATGATCTTTCCTCGTAATCTGGTGTATGTTTAAATTGTTCAGGTTAACTTTTGGAATGTTTTTTAGTATCACAATATTTTTCTTGCAATGGGGGTAATTTTACGCTGAAAAATTGGGGTAATTTTGCGCTGCAAAATTTGGCCAATATGGGAGCTTTTGGTACAGGAGCCTAGATTGTTCATCATAAACAGTTCCATTTGTGCACACGCGGAGTGTAGCGTAAAAAACAACCCCTAAAACTACATATGTAGACCCTCTTATTTCTAAGAACAAAAATTTTATTTTTAGTTATTTATTTTTGATCTTGTTTGTTTTGTTTGTTTCATAGAGAAAATAGTTTTATTTTATTTTTATGTTTTAATATATCTAATAATATTATAGAAATAAACGGTTTATTTAGATACCTACAAATCATTCTCTATACAGCGCAAATTTTCCCCCTATGATGCGCAAAATTACCCTGATAGGTGGGTAATTTTGCGCAAATGCATTATTTAAAAAAATGTAGTTTTTGCATACCAAACAATTTTTTTTATAAATTGCGCATTATATACACATAGTAAACATAGTAGACTATCGCTGGTATTAATTGCAAAATTTCACATTTAAACTTAACAAAGATACTAGAGATTTTGCTTAGATGCGCAGAATTT